CTAAGCAGTATAAAAGCTTGTACCTTGTGAATGGAGAGGCCCTGATGCAGGCATCAGACCAGATGCTGCTCTTGGTCCCATCACTTGATCTCCCATGGCTGTAAGACTGCCTTCTCCCATGTCAGAAGGCAGACAGAAGTCCTCCAGGTTACTCTTTTAAGAGCCTGAACATCACCTGCCTCTAGGGGAAGCAGATTTACAAGTGGCATCCATGGACAACATGGATGTTGGGTGTCGGGTCTCACATTCTCACAGCTAGTCAATTCAAGTGTAACATCTCCTTTCTTATGTTAATGTATTATTTAAGATCACTTGCTGGAGGTGCCTTACCTCTTATATTGTTCATCTACAGGAGTATTACCAGCTCTTGTGTATTTTCCTGCCCATGGCAGGAGGACTGGAACTAGGTGATCTTCAAAGTCCCTTCCAACCCAAACCATTCGATGATTCGATGATTTTTTGCACCCACTGTGTATGTCTTCTGCAGCAGGATGGCCTTACATGTTTTCTCTCCCTGTCAGTCACAGTCTGGCTAACACTGTAGGCAGAAAACAGTCAGGAAATGAGCAGGCTTAGGATCTCTGAAAGTACTGGGAGAAAAGTCAAAGTTTGGAGGAGAGCGAGGATGGATGAAAAACAAATGCTACACAGAGGAGTGGTGACAGCTGGATGAAGCAAGTTTCAAGCAGAAAGAGTTATTGTTCAAAGTGTGACATTGATGCTAAGCTATTACTACCAATAATATATACTGTGACTTTATGTAGAGGTTATCTACGTTTCTATTCTGTTCTGAGAAAAAGATTCAATCCTGCAGTGACGGCAAACAAGCTAATCTTATGCAAGGAAGGTAGAGAAAGCTTTTTACATGCCAATTAAATTACTTTGCCTGCAGATACTCCTTTTATAATGTTCTGCAGCATTACCCCTTGCTGATGTTTTTTCTCTGATTTTACATGGTTGCACTGAGGTTATCCATGGTCATCCCGCTGGTGTATTCCTGGCATTCAGTGACTACTGCAGCACTGTGGGGTGGATGTATGGATTTGGGAGATAGGATGCTGGAAATAAAAACATCAAATGGAAATAGCAGAAGCCTCTACATTTCTCAAGAGTCAGCCCTGTAGAGCTCAACAGTCAGGAAGGTAGCCATGATTTTAGAGTAGTCTTAACATCTTTCAGACTGCAACCCAGAATTCATCTGAGTGCAGAATGTCAGAAAGGGTTAAACCCAACACAAAAGAGGTAACTGAAGCTGCCTTTTCCAGCAGATGTTTTTCTGAACAGTACACATAATGATTTAGAATTACAGAACCACAGAATAATTCAGCTTGGAGGGGATCTCGGGCAGTCATCCTGTCTGACTTGCTGTTCAGAGTAAAATTGGCTCTGAGATTAGAGCAGGTGGCTCAGGGCTTTAGCCAGTTTGATCTTGAAAACCTCCATGGATGGAGATGGCACAGTCTTTCTGGGCAACATATTCTACTGCCTGATTATCCTAATAGAGGATAAAGAGAAAAAAGTTTTCCTAATATCCAGTAAAAACATATCATGCCTGTTGTTTCTTGTCCTTCCACCATGCACCACTGTCTGAAAAGCCTGGCTCCATCCTCTCAGCAGCCTCCCAAGAGGCACTGGCAGGCTTCTGTTAGGTTCACCCAAAGTCTTCTCTTCTTCAGGCTGAACAAGCTGTGCTCCCTCAGCCTCTCTCCACAGGCCTCCCTAACCATCTTGGTGGCCCTTCACCAAGCTTACTCCAGTTCAGCTTGTACTGAGGATACAAAACTATACAGTATTCCAGATCTGGTCTAATGAGTACTGAGTAGAGGGAGAGAGGAACTCTGGAACTACTGGCTGTGTTACTGTTAATACAACGAAGGATGCAGTTAGCTACCTTTGCTGCCAGGGCAGATGCTCTTTGCTGCTGGCTTTGGCTTGCTGACCTGCAGGACCATCGGAGTCCCTTCCAGAGAGCTATGCCCCAGAGAAGGGAGATGCCATTTATTTTCTTCTGGCTTAACCTCTTCTGCTGACATGGTCCTGGAGCCTGAAGGTTCCAGTGGTCCTGCAGATGAAGGAGACAAAGAGGGTTTCCTCCCACAAAGGGTAGGGTACTCTAGGGCTGCATTTATCACTAGATGAGCTGCAGCCTTTGTGTAATGGATGCAGTAGAAGTACACACTTCGGGTGTGTTCGGGCTACAAACAAGGTGTCTGTGTTCCCTTTGTAATGAATGGAAGCAGGCTCCTTGCTCAGTGAGGCCAGACTGAGGCAGTGACTTATTTTCCCTCAGCAATCACTTTGCTCCCATCATTTGCTCTTGCTCAGCTGAGGAAAAGTCTGAGAATCTGAATTTCACACCCTCATGGAATCTGAAATTGCTACCGAACAAACGTTACCAGCTCCAGTTGTTTTACCAATCTCTACTTTTGTAGATATATTTTTGTCGTTGTTTTTTTACCCTTTCTAGATGAAAATGACACTTGACAGCAAGAATGACCACTGCATGCTACAGAAATGAACTAGGAAATTAAGTTGAGGAGCAAGACACTTGCGTGAGCATATCTGTAGGGAATAAGGCTTCATGTGGGTGGAATGTGCCTGTTGCAAAGGTTCTGTGGTAAAATTTACTGGAGCGTAACATTGGGGGTTTGAGAGACACAGATAAGCCAAACCAACATACGTGTTTGCACTGTTTAGAGAGGCATTTTCAACACAGGGTGGTAAACCAACCTCATTCCAAAGCAGTCCAGTTCTCCAGGCGCTGTGTAGATCAGCAGGAAATTGAAGCCCATACTCAGAGGAAGGCCAGAAGAGAAACTAGTACAGTTTGATGGACAACACAGCACAGGACTAGGGTCATGACAGGAGGTGACGAAGGAGAAAAAGCTGGAAGAAAGTCAATGTAATTAAAGATCACAGAAAGAAAAGCAGTGCAGTTGCCTTTAGATCCCATATCAAAATTTTACACCTCCTAAACCCGTATTTTTCAGTAATATTGCATTGAAAACAGTAAGTTACTGGGGTGATAAAATACTATTTCCGTTATTCAAGTTATTTCCTGACAAAAATAAGGTGTTTTCTGTCAATTTTGTAGTAACCAAAGAGTAAGTCAGCTCTGGACTGACACTTAACCTTGTCTGATGTCAGGTTGTGTCACACTTCAGCTCAAAGCAAGCGTGGTCAGAATCCGATGTAACTGTAATATATTTAATTGAATTTCACCAATTTAGGTGGACACCATTTGGAATCATGTATTGGCATCACAGCAGCTGTTTAATTGCAGTGTTATTAAATTCTGTAGTCATTCAGTATGCCACAGCTTTATACCACACATTCATATTCTCAGAGATACCATTAAATTTAACAGTTAATTTCCCTGTAGTTTGAAAGAGTGCAGACAGTCCAAACTTCTGCTACAAATTACACATGAAATTACCTAAACTTGTCATTCAAAAACCTCTTTAAACATCTACAAACCCAGCAGTTGTATCCAGTCTGTGCCCAGTCTGGGGGCACAGGTATTTGCCCACAAGATTGAATGGTAGCACCTGTACATGAACATTTACACTGGAAGTTTTAAAACAGGAGAAGCTGCAAAGATGCTGAGACCTTTGAAGTCTAGAAACAAGGCTGGTAGGTAGCTGAGTAAGTACTGACTTGTGAGTCAACCCTCTGGCTCCTCCTGCATGTTTGGGTTTCGGTTTATCACTGACATTTCAATAGCCATGAATTGTAGTTAACTCCAAACTGCAACCAAACATCCATGCACACAAAGAGAGTTTATTTTGCAATGGTAAATAAATAAGGTGAGCAGTTACTTCACACTGGTAATTATGTGGCACAATAAACCTAAGAAGAGAAAATATTGACTTCCTAGTCACCAGTATTTTCTTTCTCTCTTTCACTCTTTCTAATCTCCCAAATGGTTTTTTTAATGACACAGCTTACGTGCACGTAGTGCTTTTCATCCAGAACAATGCCAAAGTGCCATACAGGCTCTGTATTGTATTACCGAAGCTTCACAACAAATGCATTTTTCTGTATTAGCACTCTGTAGAAAAAGAAAGGACCCTGTGTACATGACAAAATACATCAAGAAGATGAAAGCATGCATATTCACATATAACCTGTTAGATCGAGATGGAAGATTAACGTAGAACCTCCAATATTGCCTGTATCAATCTTCCTTTTAATAGTTCAAGTACTTTAATGCCATATTAGTTAAGGTTTCATGATCTTTAGAATAATCAGTAGATATTCCAGACTTCTTTCTGTTATGGGAGAGAATGAAGCAGGAAACATAAGATGTGCTATTAAAAAAAACCCTGAAAAATGTGTTTCTGAATTTAACCTCACATAAATTGAGTTTTCATTTCCATTTCACTTGTTTGTTTTTTTGATAAATAGATGTCTACCACTCTCCTCCTTGTTCTTTAACAGGGGGAAAAATAAAGAGATTTTTCTCAGTTTTTGCAAGTGTAACTATTACTGAATCCTATTTGGTTTGCATTTAACATCCAAAACATTGTAGTAACAGGTACTTTGCAGTATTTTAAAAGCATATGGTTTTACATATAGATAAGGCTTGCACTTTAAATATTACCTATATTTTCTCATGATTAGTTATGAACTTTGCCCTCGATAAGTCCTCTGGGATTATAACCCAGCTGAACTTTGCAGCTATTTATTGTCTCTAGGGGGGTTTAAATAACAATTCTCTGTAATAGTCTCTCAGTTTGAGGGCGTTTCAGTTCTAACCTTGACCTTAGCATTTCAGAAAGGTCTAAGCCAGGTTGATTATCCATCTCCATAATTACAGTATTAAAAATGCAACTCTATATTCTTGTAATTATGTGAAACTCTTCCTCCTTTGCCTGAATCTTAAACAGCAGAGCTTTTCATAGGAACTCTGCTTTGGTAGGAATCACTGAATAGACTTACCTTTTCCAAAACTGTGGGGACCTTGAAGTGTAGTGTCTCTGCACCTTCTGTTTCAGCATACAACAACAAAAATGGTGCATGTTTTATCTCAGTTTCCTCTTTGGAAGGACATCTGAGCTCTGTGCCTGTGCATCACATCTAATAGCTCTTGCATACCTCCTGTGTCTCTCCATGCGCCATTGTGTGCCCATGTGCATCAGTCATTGCACAAATAACATATTTCCACTTGCTCACTGAGAAACATCATAGATTTAAACAGGATCTTTGCAACAGCCCTATCATGCTGGAATGAATTTTCCCAGCAATGTGCATTGCTAGGCAAAACTCTGCACTTCTTATCCATAGTGGTAGCTCTACTGACACAAATACAAGCTCAGGCATTCAGCATTGTTTCCTCCTCGCCCATGAGCAGGAGCAGTCAGTGGTATACAATTGAATTCCCTGTCACAAATGGGACAGAAGTGGACCTCCTGTAACAATCTCTGCCTCGTGGTTTTGGTTATTTGCTCTAAATTCTCTTGACCTTTGCAAGGGTAAGAAGGTGCTCTACCAGGACACAATGGTAGCCATCACCATCGTCCTGCTTTGTGGTTTGCCTGGAAATTGCCTGCAATTTAGAAAAGCTTTCCTTTTAATTTAGTGCATATGTGAAATAAATTATACTATGGAATGGTGCTGTCAAATATTTATTTAGTATCTCAGTACTCAGACTCACTCGCCAATCAGATAAAATTAGGTTTGAATTCTTTGATACTGACATCATTTTCCTAACTTACAAATTCACTCTCAGACACAGAAGTAACGAATGTTTGCATTGGCCTGCTGTGAATAGCAGTGATGTTTAGGAATTTTAATGTACAGTTTAGTGTTTTCATACTGTCACTGTGAATCAGTGCTTAATTTTAGCTGGAGACAGCTTTGTCCTTAAACTACTTCTTGTGTTTTCCTATTTTCTAATTCAACCTGAGTGTTAACGTTGGCTCCTTTTAGATGATTTGCATAGAGTTTCAAAGGCATAGGATTTCCCAGGACATTACTAAGCAGCAACAGGGGCTGCAAAGCCAAGTGTATATTGCTGGGTCAACAAGATTGGCTTTTAACAATCAAACAGAAAACATAATTGAGAATAATGACTAGTATTTTGAGAAATGTTTTACTGTATGTGTTACTGTGCCAACATCCGTCTGCACGATCCTGATTATTATCTCTCATAAAAATAGCGTATGAACTTGTGAAGTTTATGAAAACAAGAGCTGCTCTAAAACAGGCTGAAGACAGTGAGACTAGTTTAAAAATAGCTTTTCTTCTCTGATACTTGCTTCATACAGTATGATAAGAAGTTGTGTTGTGCCTTAAGCACTTAGCTGAAAGTTTTGCACGCAGTTAACCATGTAGCATACAGAAGTAGCATCTTAACTGGATTCATTTGGTATTGCTAGAGGTTGATCAAAATCCAAAAAACTAAGCACAGACAAAAACACAGGTTTGCTGAATTTGCTTGCTGAAGCACAGTAAATCCAAAAAGCATATAAGCTCTATTAGCACTGCATTCCCATTGCGTATTTACCTGTTCTCTGTGTTGCAATACAGAGTTTTATCACTGTCAATTTTCAGTCAGATAACAGAGCATATTTGAATAAGTTTTGCTTGGCCAACATGTAAAAAAGAAAACCGTGCATGAAATTGGTGGGGAGCAACTCATTTTGAGTCTTCGGTTTTTCAGGTCTGGTTGGATTTTGTTCCTCAAAGTCTTGTCTGTGTGGCTGCCTTACTGATGCCTACATCACTAGTGAGGGATCACCAAAGTTCTTGGGAGCACTGGGGGGAATGTTGCTGAAGCCATTAGTGGCCAACAGTAGAAACACAGAAAGGTGAGAATGCCTCTGTGTGTCTGTCAGGAGAAAAGAAATTGCTCTGTATGTATGCTGACTGCCAAGGGTAGAACTTGAAGAATTAGGTTAGTTGGGCAGTTAAGAGGGGAAAACAGTTACTTTCTTAAGCATTGTAATATTACAGGAAGTGGCATCACAACAAAACTGTAACTCTAGTGGCTATTTTACTCTTCATTGATTAAAAGCCCCAACTGTGCTTTGATGAAAACTGTTTCTGTTTCATTGAGCCACACCAGCTTTTCACTAGAAGTTATAATGGAAACAGCAATTGGATATAACCATATAGAGTCTAACCTAGTAATATCAAGTCCTGCATCTGTGAGACCACTTGCAGTCATATAGAACAGCCTGTTAGGGGATTATCCAAGAACAGAGTGAGCTCAGGCTGAAGAAATCCCAAAGGGTACTTTTGTACTCAGAATCCCTCAGTCTTAACCAAGTATGCAGCTTCTCTATTTTTCACATCATGTTATGCACAACCAGCCCATACAGAGTATCACTTCCACCATTTACACTGAAGAAGGCCAAGAAAACAAGGCTGAGGAACTGAGGAGCTGAAATTGTGGTGTGTGGATGGACGGCAGAGCTTTTTCTTGTGGTTCATTGAATAAAACATTTTAGAACTGTAACGTGGTAGATTAAGCCACCGGTACCGGAAAGGAATGGGGTCTGCAAGTAGATATTTTCCTTACAAAGTGGTCTACTGACTGAAAACCTGGAGCACCATCAGAGTTCAACTAATTGAGCCAGACAGCTTGTTAGACTGTCTTATAAAAGCTGGATGTCTGGCTAGATAGCTTTTTGGCACTTTGAAGAATGGAAAGGCAGATTTATGAACTGGACAAATGAGCATTACAGTCAGGAATTTTTCAAACAGTTTGGCTGTATCTGAGACCCTCTGACTTTCAAAAAGATGCTGCTTCAAAAGCCAGCCTCTGCCAGCTCCTAAATGCACCATTCAGCCTCAGATACTGTTGCTGATTTTAAGCACCTTCCTGTGCATTGCACCTAAAGAGGCAGGATAAGTTTAGAGTCCATTTTATCCCTGTTTACCCAGTAACATGAAAGCTGCAAAACAACAAGAAGGTTCAGGAGGCGGATAGGTGTGCCTGCACTTAGAGGAGGAACAGGGTGATGTTAACATGCAGAAAGAGCTTCATGCACTTCTGTAAAGGTGAACCTGCATCTATGTTCTCCTACTATTGCTGTGACTTCAGAAACATTCAGCTTCCTCACAACATACATATGTTCATCGCGGGCATGCATCGCTACAATACACCCATAAATCTCTCGTGTTAGGCTCAGTTTGGACAGGGATTGCTGAATCCTTTCCATGGCTTACTCTCAGGAATTAAACCCTAACTCACCGTGTCCCGAGCTACACTGTTGATTAGTCTCCATATCCTCACCACCAGCAAAGAGCCAACAGCAGCACTGCCAAGGTTTCTGCACTTGTTTCTGTCTCTTCTGTGTGGAACGTCATTCCAGTTCAGATCCATCAAACTATCCAGCGCAGACACTGAAACACTGTGGGCAGAAGAATACACAAATCAGAATTTCTTGGAAAAACCCAGTCTCTGTAATTGTAAATAGCTGGTTTTCTTCATTGTATGCTATTTCCTGTATGCATTTCGCTCTTTCTGATTTCTGAGCTTTAGATCAGCTTAGAGTGGAATGGATGGATTCATGCCTGAAAATGACTGAAAAATCAGGTAGAAGCTGCACAGAGAGGAGCATGTTGTGTGTCTTCCAGCATGGTAATCAGCCAAAAAATACCATGACAGCTACCAGGGTGCCAGACACCTGAGCTTCACAAACAGAAGGGAACAAGTAAGAACAGCGAACACTTGCAACTTGTGTTATTTTTTGATGCTGCTGCTCCCTCTCCTAACAACAAAATAGAAGATGAGAGTTAAACACTGTTTTGTACATCATAATTTGGAGAAGTTTCTCATTTAAGCTAGGCCATTTCTGAGACATGGTTAAGGGTGTTAAAAGCAAATCAAAGCAATTTGGAGGAAACCAAATCCCCTCCAGACCCAGGAGGAAGATGGTGTTTTGGTTTAGCATGTGCCCTTCTCACCCTCGGGAACCTGAGAACAAATCAGATTCACCACTTGCCTACATTGTCACAGTACCACTCGTTTTTGTCATCATTTGCTATCTGTGGCCACACCAGGACATGTGCCCTAGAAATGAGGCAGAAGAGCATATTGGTTTCGGAGCCGAAATCAGCACCCATCCTCATTTAGGAAGTGAGAAGGGAGGAAGCACAGCACTCACAGAATTCCTCTATTCCTTGTTTCAATCCCTGCTTCTTCTTTTCCCCAGTTTTCAGGGTGCATGCTGCTGGTTTGCTAGTTTGTAGGTGATAGGTTTCAGTGGTCAGTCTTCAGAAATCCTGTGCTAATAAATAGGTAAAAGAGGAAGCAAACATATGGAGGAAGCTCAGACTGAGTTCTGGCAAATCCAGTGCTAAGTGTTCCAAACTCATATGTGATGAGGGTGGCTTAAAAATAATCAATTTGGAGTTCCTTTTTATTTGCCTTCTGGCTTAAAAAGAATCAATCTGAGGTTCCTTTTATTTGCCTTTGGTTTCCGAGCCTTCAGGGTATGCTCAGATAATGTTTTCTCAGAAACCACGTGTGCTAGAAGGCTTTCTCTTTTCCAACTAAAAATTGCTATTTCTCAAGTCAAGCCCCAGCCCTATGCTAAGGCTCCATGTACCAAACAGCATGAGATGTGCAATAACTCACTAGAGTCACAATCCTTCATCTTGTTCCCTTCATCTTTGATTTTTCATAAGTCAGGGTGGAATGACAGAAGTAAGAAAGTGAACAAATTGATATGAATAAAAACATGAGAAGTTTTCAGTTAGGAGTTAGGGTAGGAGGGGTAGCAACTTAATAGATGAAATAGAAAACAAAGGAAAACAAGGGTGGAAAGAGAGATGAAATGGGAGGCTTGGCAGTGTTCACAGACATAGCAAAACAAAGAGAGAAAGCAAAGCAAACAAAGAGGAAACATCATCCTGCATATACTTACCCTTTTAGTGCAGCAGCTGCTCTGGGGCTCTGGAAGCTATCAGCACCATAAATAGCTCTGTATCTGTAATTAATGATTTGAAGCTGTGCCAGTATTTAACCAAGGATTAGCCCTGCCTAAGCAAATGGTCAGCAGCACGTGGACCTTTGGAGACCAGGTGTTCTCAAGCTTTGAAATGCTGCACGCTCATGTTCTGCATGTATGTGTGTCTTGTGGAGGGTCAAGTTAACTTGAAATTCAGGATCTTTGAGGGTTGGGTTGGGGGAACACTCTTTGAGTTCTTAGGTCTGAAATGAAACCTGCAAGATTTGTTTCCTCTAGCAGGTATATATCTCTGCTGAGGGCTGTCACTGTCTACTCTTCTATAGCCTGACTATATGTGGTGTCTGGCTGTCAGAAGGCTTGAAGGAGTAGTTCAGCAAAACACACTGAATTCTGGCTATTTCTTCAAAGTAGAAAGTTCTCATTTTCAGAATTTCTTCCAGTTTTATTCCTCTGTATATTTTTTGCTAGTGTGTCTCTTGTGGCATTCCTATCCCTATGATTTGATGTAGAATTGTCTTTTCATTCTTCTTTTATTAGACTTTTAGATGTTTTTGTCTCTGCCCCCAAAATCCAAGTTGTCCTCAATGTACATTGAACTACCTCCCATCTCCTTTCAAATCTGTCAGTGAATTTGCAAGATTTCTGGCTATAGCATTCATCTACGCTTTCTTACAGCTTGTGAAATAGATTCATCATGTTTAGCTCCCTGTTTAGCCACTCTGTGCATCCTGTGTCCCTGCGGAAGAAAGAGCTGTCAGTAAGTTATGTACATAGGTCAGGAGGCTGGATTTACCTCTGCTATACTTAGTTGGTGAGTCATATTTAATCTAGGGTAAACATCAGGAATTTTTATCCCCCAGATTTCAAATGCAAAGCCCAAAATAAGAGGTTTCTTATACACTCTACCTGGGTGGAAGGATTCTCACTGAGGGCTGAACAAGAAACCAGAGAAGTCTAAGGAGAACCACAGAAGCAGCAATATTGTGACTTGGATGGAAAGCCAAGAATGTTCTTGTGGTACAACCCTGACTAATAAAGAATGTTGAAACACTAAAACAATAAACCTCTATTGCGTTCAGAGGCACAGAATATTTGGACTTGCATTCATCTGCAAAGCTCTCATGCATCCACCTCTCCTTCCTGAAGACTCCTTGTCTCATTAATAAGTATATGCTCCACAAGGGCAACGAACAAACTGAAAGACACCACAAAAAAACAGTCAGATAAAGAGAAAAGATGGATTGGTAAATACTCTATAGTCATAGACTGAAACAGAATGAGCATGTCTTAATTTAGGCACTATCCATTGGTCAGTAATTCATTGCTGATTTCAAATCACCTTTTAATAAAGTAGCTTGGTCAGCAGTGCCTCAGCTACTGAAATCAGATAATATTTATTGTACTATTAAATACCGGTTTATTTATTCAAATATTTTATCAGTTACCTTCAAAAATGACCTTCCTATTCCATAACATTTTTCTTTGCAAATACTGAGCTTTAACTCTAGCCTCATTTCATGCTTTAGAGCATCTTTATCAGACATTTACTGAAACGCATCACATGCTCATAAGCCGCACAGAAAAAAGTTCTCCAAGTGGGAAGCTTTAGCTACAAATCTAATTGTGGAGGTATCAGCATATGATGAGGTCTGCAACGTTAGATCTGTGCCTGGAAATCACCTATTGCCAGGTCCTGAGCTGCAGAAATGAAGGAGCAAGGAAAATGCTTCTCTTTCGTTCTCTCCCTGCCTCTGTCTCATAGACCCGCACGAGCACACCCATGTGTGCGTGTGCGTGCACGCATGCACGTACTCACAAAAAGCTTCTGTTTGGATTCAGTTCTACCAGCCTCCTTGTGCAGTTACAAACTGCAGATGTTCCGAACTCCAGGGCACGGTTCGATTTCATTTACAAATGAAATATATGACTTACATATTCGAAATACAATGAGTCATCTCCTCAAGAGCAATAGTCAACCCCTGGACTGGCCCAGGCATCCAGAGTTACTACAGATTTACTTATAGAGCTGAAACGATCAGTTCTTTGAGGACACACAGTGTTGGTTTTTCTTTTCCCAAACGAGGGAGAATACTTCTTTTCTTTTTTGAATAAATATTTTAATATAAAAATATCCTGGCTCCTTCCACTGCTAAGAGTGTGTGTTTTCATGTCAGTTTAAAATTAACGTAATAACACACATGTATTTTTTAGCCAATAATAGCCCACTACTATTTGTGTCGTGAGCAATAAAACATGATGGTTGCAATGTCAGTAGCCTTATATTTGTGGATACACCAATTACAAAACTTCACATTATTCAACTCAAACCTATTTGCACGAGCTGACCAGTTCAAGGAGCTGACTCACAGACTGTTAAAACCAGTTACTTGGTACACAAATTAGGTTGTTGCCCAACCCCAGTTGTCACTATGGCTTGTAGGGAACACTTTAACAGCTGTTTAAGTGTTAATCAGCTCCTGACAACTGGACTTACTGTAAGGGTGGAACTTTAGATGTTGTGGATGGTATCTGGCCAGTGATTATGGTTTGAATATTGTGTATCCACTTTCCTTGACACAAACTGGAGTGTTGCATTGAGAGGGAGAAGATGCAAGATGGTGTCCCCAGGGTGTAACCTGGCCACTATAAAACTGACGGCAGGTAGGTCTGCTGTTGTGAGTTGCTTAGGTATTTGATCTGCTTTGAAACAACATTCTCAGTATCATCATACAGCCCAACACAACTGCCCCCTGCTCATACCATTACCTTGCACAGCACCCTGATGTTGGCTTTGTGTCAACTGCACTTTTCTTGGCCCTGTGTCTGTCCAGCAAATCTGGCCCTACTTCTTCAACCTTCTTCCTGCTGCAAGAGCTGAGTGTCCGCACAAGTCTCACAAGCTGAAGAGCTGGAGAGAAGATGCAGGAGAAGAGATTGACAAAAAACTGATGTCTTTCCTGAAAAGATGGGAAGCCACAGTGGGCAGGGATGTGGGGGGATTGAGAAAACAGGAATTAGGCTGCCCCAGGCAAAGACCTGAAGAGCTTGATCTTTTTCTTCTATTCTCCTTCTCTCCAGGCATCGGTGCCCCAGGCTCCCACAGTGGTTTGGTACCATCTGCACCCACATTAGCTTTTCTGATCTACTCTCTCTCATGCTAATTCCTCCAAGGATCTTTGCATAAAGCCCTAGCACATCACTCAGCAGCTTTCACAGTTGTACCTCTTTCACACCTCTCTCCAAGGTATGCAGGTACTTGAGGAGAGTGGAACTGAGCATCTTGGAGCTAAGATGCCAAGCATGCCATTACTAAGGCCAATAAAACAATAGAGCATATGAGAAAGGCAAATGCTGAAGAAACTTTGAGTCTTTCTGGTCACAGATGCTCATTCATACTTGGGAAGGAAATACCCTTCCACACTCCCCATTTTCCCTTCCTCCAGTTAGCACGCTTAGCTTTCACAGATGGATCTCTTTCATATCTCTCTGCAAGATATGCAGGTATTTGAGGAGAGTGGAAGTGAGCATCTTAGCTCCCAGAGGCTGATTTTGGTATATCACGTCTATTTACTGTGACAGCCTGCCATAAAAACCTTTCACTTCAGCAGAGCCCTGTGCTCTGTTTGGCTCAGCCTTTGTTCCACCTTGACCTTGAACTACAGGCACTGAGATAAAGGACTTCCTCAGTTGCGATTTGCTCTTGGTCACATCCCCAGCAGCTGAGACCCTGTGGAGTGTATCAGAGCCACATAAGCATGCAATAAACAAACTTCAGTTAACCCAGTTGGTATTGTGAAATGCTGGGGTTCAGGTGGGCTGTATTTCAGAGGCTGTGCACGAAAAAATGTCAAGCGAATTGAGTCAATATGTAGGTTTTTGGCCGTTTAGCATCAGCTTTTAAACACCAGCCGGGCTTTATCCAAAGCCATGGGTCTGTAACACAGCATCCAGTTGTGTCGCATGCAGCACTAGAGGGCAGAGCTAACAGCTAGTGAGACATTAAGGGTGCCTTAGGGACCCGGGAATGTACATTATAATGGAGTTAAACAAACTTTTAGGAGGCTGAGACACAGAAGTCAAAATATGAGGTGACTGGTAAAATAAATGGCACGTTAATTGCGATGCTGGAAGCATGACAAACACTACAGACGTGGCCTTGCGTACTTCCCACAGCCCTGCTTGGGAGCATTTGCACCTCTGAGAGATGCCACTTCAAGCTTTCTGCACACCTCCTTCTCCCGTATTTGCAAGGTTCTGTTTGCAAAAGGGAGAACTAGACCTGTGCCTTTGGAAAGCAAAGCTGAGCTGCTGGAGCTCATGAATTTGCTAGAGCCAAACTCTTCCTGCCATGGGTGCTCTGGCCCTGTAGTATTCCTGGGTCTCTGTGCAATGGGACTCATTGGTGTCTGCAGGGACTGAAGATGGGAGTGGATAGAGAAGGTCTTGGGATCTGTGATAAATGCTGGAGTTCAGCTGTTGCTTGCTGGCCCATGTTGACCCTGTGTGGCCAGTGAAGTATATCTCAGAGCATCACCTGTAGTGTGGCACCACACTGATGCAGGTATGGGTGTTTGTGTGGACACTGCTTCAGAGGAGGTTCCTAGCGTCACTGAGATCTGTGGAAAGGGACTGTCTTTCCTCTGGTTGGTGCCCAGGGAGAAGATGAGTCACAGCCTCAGCCTGAGGCAGACAGCAGGTACCACCTAAGTAGGTGCGGGTAACCTTGAATTTAACTGCTCTCTCTCATCTAACTGAAGACCATGGCTGGTGAAGGTTGGAGGGTGTGAGAAAAGGAGGGTGAAACTGGAATGGGAGTGGCTTGTCTGAAGGCTGAAGGTGGCAATCGAGGTGAGGTATTAGATTCTGTCCCTACCCAGCCTTTGACAGATGCCCACAGGGACCAAAGAGAAACCCTAACACAAAACTGGAGCACTTTTTTACACTGCTGCAAAATTTTCTCCCATTAAACTTCTACAAGCTTGCAGGAAAAGAAGAAAGGAAAACTTACTGCTTTCCCCCTGGTCAGGTAACACCAACCAAAGCCAGGCAGACATTTGGTTTACCTATGTTGGTCAGGAAAAAGAAGGGAGTTACTTTTGTGCATCACTCATACTGTGGCTGCTGTTGCATGGCCAGCCACCTTCATGCTTATCTTGAGACTGCTCCGTCTTCAAGAAATGAAGTGTGATTTTCACACTGATTTATATGATTTTACAATGATTTCTATGAGTTGTGGCCTGTCCCATGACTACACCTGACCCATATAACGTGATGTAAGAATCGCCCTTTCTCAGGGTCAGCAGCGCTGGGACACAGGTCCCTGTGTTAGACACACCACCCACAAAGTGGCGCATATGCCTTCTCCTTTATTTCGCCTGTCAGCTCCCTGAATTACTTCCAGGTAGTGCTGCACGTTTCTACCTTTGCCTTTAATTAGGTGCAAACACTCTGTATAAATAAAAGAGAACGTTCCCTGCAGCGAGTCGGCTGTTGCAGGCTGCCAGACACTGAAAAATGTTTGTCTCTCTTACTGTTACTTAATAATTCCCTCTTTACAAAGAAATCTTTCTCTCCTTTTTTGCTTTCCCTTCTCCAGTTGGCTTTTGGGGGTTAGAAGCTTGGATACAGCTGCAGAATAAGTTTGGGTCCCAGTGTACAGTAGGTGTACTATCCCTGAACACAATAGGTGTACAGTACTAGCCAGGGTTCCTGCCTGCCTTTCAGTCACACAGTCTCCATACCCTTTAGGAGATGTCAGTCATTGCAGTGCTTGTATGTAAATGCTGTATTGTCCATTAGGTATTTCAGATTCCTTTACACGGTGCTTGGCAAGCCAAACCATAATTCTTTGTGTCCTGTTTCTAGCAGCAGCTCAAGTCATAGACTTCAGGAAAGCTGTCATCCCCCATAATAATGACATGATACTACAAGGGTATCTATAAAGAAACTTAGGTTAATTTACTAAGAGTATATCAGAATGGCATGTAAAGTTGGTTACAGTTATCTCCATCTATATGTGAAGGGAGTCTGAAGAGGTTGTGCAGAAGTGTTAGCAAGCTGTAGAACCCAAATTCTCTTGGTTTCCACAGCTCTCAACACTGCATCTAGGGAGAGCCATCATCAGCATGTCTGGCCTGTCAGAAGTCAACTATTTCATGACATTTACGTGTATTAACAGCTATCTAAAGGCCTGGAAATGATAACTCATACCTGGGTATGGATCACCACAAAAGGTTTTGGAGGTATCCAGTAGAGCCATCATTTTGTGCAGCCTCTGCAGCGGAGTGTATGGCATGTAGCTGTATGCCTCAGTTGTTTCTGTATTTATCTCTTTTCTACTTCTTTTGGAGACAGTACTTCAGAAGTTCCAGACTACATGATAAATTCTAATAATCACGCTGGTTATAGCAATTTAATAGCCACCTCCATCACATATTAATGTAGATCTCTTTAAAAAAGAAAAAAACAACTAAGATTTAGGATGAGAATTAAACCTAAAGCCTGTATTTCATTTAAATTAATTTCTTTAAGCTGAATTATGCAGACTGTCATCATATGAAGCTATTGCATTTTGCAGAGAAACAAACAGCATTTCATGCTTTAGTGACAGAGAGGTACCTTTTACTGAACAGATGTATTTCTATTGCGCTTTATTCTGATATGAAAAGTGACCTTTCCTATGACTTTCCAGCATTCCTCAAAGACCAGATTCTTTGCCAGCTGCAGCACTTAAACAAATCTGCCAGCATATTCCTGCTTTGCTTGAGACTGCAAATGTTTCTGAGTGTCTATTTGCTCAAGGCCTTAGGATCCTAGGTCCCTATCTTGCAAAGGCTTAAGATCATGTGCTAGAATTTGCACAATTGGAGCCCTTGCATCTATAATGTTTATAGTACGTGAATTTTTAATGGCAGAAAGTGAACATTCCTCATAGTAGATATGAAGAGACCAAATACAATAATCTCTCTTGTAAATACACATTCCTATTTTCATATGTGTCTTTGTTCACTTATATTTCCTTTAAGTGTTTTATTTAGTACTGAAAAATTCACTCTAACGTGAATGACATATTCCAGATGTAAAGGTATAGAGATGGTCTTCAGGTACTAGATGCCCTATTACTGTGTGCTTCACAGCACTCGAGTGCTTTGTGTGTGTGCATTCATATGTGTGTGTACATACTTTATGGCCTGCTGCCTTCATGTGTTTTACTCTCTATGTAAAAGTTTGCGTACAGTGAAGCACTGTTCTATCAAATATCACTGTTGGCACATTGGCTCCTCCCAGGGAAGGCACAATCTCGGAGCTGTGTAAAGATGCACGTACAATCCATCTTTTGTAACGTGTCATAATACATTGTACATCGTACACTGAATAGTTTGACCAGTGTGCTACTGTTGTGCTGTGAATGCCAGAGGTTCTGAGCAAAAGCTTGTGTCTGTTCCTAACCATCTTAACTTCCAGATCTCATTTTGACCTTTTGGTTCCAAGAAGCCCAAACCCTAAAGGCAGGATTTTTGCCTGATTAATCTTGATTTCAAGAAAAAACAATGTGTGCATCATTTAAACCTAACCAGCTTTATGTAAACCTTCCTAAACGCATTAGGAGCAGGGATTTTTGCTGATAGAAATATTAGATTGGAAGGACAACTGTTTGGCAGTGAGGTACTTACTTTCCAGGGGTTAATAACTGTTAAGTATCCTTACCTTACAGACTTACCCTATGGTTGAGATGGGATGACAAGAAAAAGCCAGATTATTCTATGAACTCTTCATGCCTTCAACAAGGAAAAGATCCTGTTGGATCTTTTGGCCTGTTGGAATTCTTTAAAATCAGTAAGATGCTCTACTCAAGAATACAAGCTGAGATTTTCCAAGACAGAAGCCAGGGTGGCAACATGCCTTGCACGTATATCAACACAAGGAAATGATCCAATTATAGCAAAACTAATCCAACAGACCTTTGGAATTTTAGGTGGAAGTCAGGAAGATGCTGTCCTTTCCTCCGGCTACTTCGTCCAAGCTCATGGGGACAGCAAAAGGCCAACAAAGTCGTCAGCCCTATGACAAGTGTCAAGGAAACCTGGAGCTATTGCTGTGGTCACATCAAGTCTCTGTTAATGTCTGTGTGTCTTGTGGTAATTACTCAGTTTCACAGAATCTCTTTGCTGTCTCTCTAAGTGTGTAGACTCATCATCTTCTCTCATCATTTTGTGTCCACGGCTTGTTAAAATAGGGGTAGAATTATTGGTATATGGGGGGTTAAAACTGTTTTACACCATTAGATATGCCACCAGTGAAAGAAACACAGATTAAAAGAATGCTACCAGTTTCCCTTGCCTTTTCTGTCATGTTGCATGTTAATTTCTGTTGTACAGAGCATACAGTTTCCCTTGGAATGAAATGCACTTACATGGTTGGATGGAGTCAGCAAGAAACTGCCCATCCTTCTAATTTGGGAGGTGTTCCTTACCTGTCAGGCTGGCAAGGCAATGTAAAGAAACCTGCTCCATCCCTGTTCTCTGGCAAAACAGAAAATTCAAAGCTAACAGTTTGAAAGCTCTCAGCACGTACAGTGGGCATAAAGACAGGGGAGGAGGCTGTGATCCTTTGAAAGCTGACAGGATCAGAGCATTATCTGCCCAAATTAGTCAGGTATTTCTAAAGCTTCTAGTACTATGGTGTTACTAGCTTCCTTCAGCATCAGATACTGACAGATACTGCCCAACACATCTTCTTATCAGAAGATGCCTGCAGCTGCCTACCAGCACCTTGTCATGTGCAGTGAGGAGGGGTCAGCTCCTCACTCCTGTTCTGGTGGCTCAGGGTTTCCAGCAGATTTAGCATTTTTATTCCTTTTTTTCTTTTTATCCCCAGCTTCAAATTTCGAAGGGAAAAAATGTTAAGAAGCTGAAATGAAAGCAGAATCGGATGGGAACATGCAAACAGCATTTCTGGGTCCTGCTCCGTTCCAACAGCAACACAAAACTATTCCGTTTATTTATTCAGCGAAATAAACCCTGGCATCACTACCAGGATGTTTCCTCTTATTCTGGGGGGTTGTTTTGAGTTGCGCTGGGACAACTATAGGATGAATGAGAACAAGGGACAGATGTCAGTGCTGTTAAGTGCTAGTGGGAGCTGGAAACTCCTTTCATCAGCTGCTTTCAGAGTGTTCAGATTTGACCAGCACCATTCAGCTTGTCCAGGAGTGTTGACAGAGACGAGCTGATGGACTCCCACTTCAACCTTCAGTTCCTTATACCCATCTCGAGCCTGGGATCTGAAAGAGCAGGATTAACCCGTCCCAATCCTGATCTTCAGGGAGGCTCAGCCACCCAGGTCCTGTGCCATTTGTCCCCTTTACCTGAAGACTCTCAGTCTTACTGCAGGAGCCCTGACCTACAGCACTCAGCAGCACCACTGACTGATTCATGTTGCGGAGAGAAAACACCCTCCACATCTGCACCCATCCCTCCAGAGATGCACAGCTAAACCCACAAACTCACCACGTACCAGCATCAGCTACCTAGCTGCCCTTCTCCTCTCAGCCAGGGATTTCTTGTCCTCCTCCCCCCCGGCCCCTCTTCACTCCCTCCTGCCTTTTACATTGCTCACACCGTGCTCCATTAGGTATTCACTACCAGGGCAATGTGACTTTTCACACCAGCTCTCTGCATGCACTGCCCTGCAGACTAGGCTGGATAAAGCCTCTCCCCAAACCCAGCTGTCTGGACATAGCCCCCCCCCCCCCCCCCCCCCAACCTTCCCCTCCCCTTCACATCAGCCAAGCCAAGGATTCCTCTCTCCCTCCCTCTTTCTTTTTCCACCCCTCCCGCCTTCAGCGCAGACCCAAGATGCAGGCTCCTGCCGAGGGAAAGTGCTCCTTGGAATCATCACCGCAGACCCCGCTGCGAAAGTGCAGTGGAGGAGAGAGGAAAAGCATTGGCAGCCAACCTCCTGCGGCTGAGGGCTTCGCAAGCAGGGTAATGGCTTCAGGCTCTCAGAGCTTCTCTCTCACCTTTCTCCAGGGCGTGGGATCTGCCTTCTTCATCCTTCAGATCATCTCTGTTCAGGCTGATGGTGAGTTCCCCGTTCAGTGCGGGCTGGGGTTGCTGTGGCTGGAATGAGAGCTGTCTGTTGAAACGTGTTCTTGCATAGAAAAAAAAAACCCAAACCAACAAACCCAAACTTCTTTTTTTTTCTTTTTTTTTCATAAGAAACTTAAATACACGCCCAAGTTTGGGTTAGGAAATGTCTGATTCAGAGCGTTTCGAGACTCTGCAAATACCCTGGGGTTAAGCAGAGAAAGGAAATAAGACCCCAGAAGGGTAAGATTATTTTATTACAACAAACCGACAGGAGACTGGACTTTTCCAGAGGAAATAAGAATAATGGGGCAAAGCCAGAACACAAATTAGAAGACTCAGCTATGTTTTAGGGGAGCTCTCTTTATAATTAGAAGTATGTTTTCCCCAAAGCACTTCCCCATCTGCCCGCTTCAGATGCCCCCCAACAGCGATTTATACAGGCAGGTATTTGAGGAGGGAAGACAAGAAGTCAAGGGCTTTTGTAACCTTTTCTGCTCAGTACCACACACGCTGACGGTGACTGCTCACCTTTCTGCACATGAGTTTCATCTGCACTTCACTGCCGAGGGATGGGATCAGGACATGGATTTGGTTGAAGCACCAGCTACCGCTTACTCTGAAAAGGGACCTTAGCCTTGACAATAATCCTGAATAGCTGCAAGTTTCCAGTAGCCTTTTAATGATTGAGGCTGTAGTAATGATGACCAACTTGCCTCAGCAAAAACACGGTTTCTCTTTGAGACAACTGTGTCTTTTCCCTGGGAGAGCAATGCTGAATGGCCACTTCTTCTCCACTCTCACAGCTGTGATAGATTTATGCCTGGTCTCATGGTGTTTTTACTTCAATGCACTAATCCTTTACCGTCCGTGTCTGCTGCATTAGTCCAGAGATCTTAAACATTATGGGGCAGTGTAATGCCCTCTTTTCTTTCCTCTTAAACCAAAATTAATGTCAGCTGATGAGAAAGTATGGCAAAGGAAAGGGGGAAAGTGAATCTTGCCTCTATGTTTCTATCACCTTGCTTAAAATACCCTTTATAGAAGAGAACCCTGTCTTATAAATGTGAAGAAAATTGCTTTTCATTAAGAATAAAGGGAAACGAATGGGTCGGGCAACTGTGCTGTGTTGCAGGAGGCAAAACTGCGACTCTGCTCTTAGGAAATCCTCCTTCCCTAGCAAAATGCCTCTGAAATGAACTAAAAAAGCAATGCATACCCATGAAAGAGTGCTCTCCACTGAACATAGGTAGGGACAGGACAGGAATAAGGAATTTCTCTTGCTAATAATGTTACATCTGAAGAATTTCCTTACCTTTTCAAGAGCACAAACCAATTTGTATTGCTTCTATAGGATTAATGGCATATTCTTGGCCCCTAAACAGCCATCCTCTAAAAGAGAAAGCAAAAAGTATGCTGGAGATTGCCTTATATCAGAGTTCATGACAGTTTTTAGTTGTCATTCAACAGTTTGTTCATATTGAATTCACACATGGTACAGCAATTATAAGAAGTAAGGGTTAGAATCTCTGAAGTGCATTACAGTTGTAGATCCTCACTATAATAGTGTGCTTTCCATTTTCATTTAACTTTTAAGTATCAATGTGAAAAATGGGCAAGTCCTCATTAACATGCTCGTCAGTGTGTTTTCCTAATATTAATATTCCAGCAGACAGCTGTAACACTGTCCTATAAACTACCTGGCTTATTATACATTGACACAGAAGAGAACACGATGTGAACTTTAAAATTTCCCACTACGTGTACTTTACATGTTTAAGATCTGAGAGTATGAAACAGGGCTAATGTGTTCTTTTAGAACAGATTCTGGCCTGATCCAGACAGGAAACCACCTTCTCATGTGTTCAAGTTGTAGGTGAAAAGACAATTGTGCTACTCTAATACATGCAAATCTGTCTTAAGTGCCAGAGGACCATCCTGGGTGACACATGTATGTGTGTATGTGTCAGTTTTAACTCAAACTAAGTGGCTGTTTTGCAATCTGCTGAAGGGATTTTGAATTCACCTCGTAAAAACCCTGTGAAATTCAGACTGGCCCCTGTTAGAGGCAAACCTCTGAAGCTGATTGCAATGTATTTCCCTAAGGAAGACTTAACTTTATTATCAGCTCGCATACAAATAATGACAGAGAGCAGGCAATGAAACTGGAGACCATCAAGGTCTGGTGAAGATGTAAAACCTCAAAGCTTAACTGATCTCTTTTGCCTAGTATTTGCCACAGCACATATTGCTGTAGTGCACATAGACTCCAGAAAGACCAACGTAAGTAAAGACCAACCAAGGTAAACGCTGAAATAAAAGGTGGCTTTGTTTCATTTTGCAAGTTTTTTTACCATTGAAAGGTGCTTGCTTATAGCTATTTAGGTTGGGGTCAGATGGACAGAAGGCTTCTCAAGGGCTTGTTCTTGCTCTGACATACCATGGGGTGCCATTAGTTTTAGTGCAGTTACTGGAGGATAATACAGGTTGTCGTGATGGGTCTCAATTATATCCATGCAAATGCAGGCTTTTTAAGTCCTTTGCATTTGCACTGGATTAGGAAAACAAGGATGCAGCTTCTTGTATCCTGCACAGGAATCATCTCTGCTTCCTTCTTGTACTTTCTGACTCACTCCTTTGTCTTTTCACAGCTGCTAAAATACCCGTAAGTGTGAACCACATGTTTCTGCAGAGTACTTGCTCTGAGACTCAGCATGTCAGGAGAGAATGATGGCCATTTATCTGCCTTATTAAGACACTCTTGATTTGAATAAATGTGCTAATTGCAAACTTCACTCATTGTTCCAAAGTGGAGTTGGTCAGCTGCCTGAATTTGGGTTCTATGGTAGATGTATAGATCAAGGCAGTCAACTGGTAGTGACCATGTAGAGTGACTGCAGAGGTTGCAGATGGAAGGCTCCTGAATGCAGAAAGCTAGGCACAATTAAGTGAGGATCTGAAGTACATACTTCTGACCTAGAACCAGACATGTCTGATGTCAAAGATAGGGAAAAAAATCCTACTATACTCTTTCCTTTAGCTTGCTTTGCACCTTTTCTGGTAAGGGAGAAGAAAAAAGTGTACTTCTTCTGTCTGGACACTTGCATTTGAGCAGCAGGTGTGTAAGGACTGGAGGCTCCCACCTGCAAATAGCATCTACTCTTTTATGATGCAAAAACAAACACGTAAACAATCCCAACTATTTGATCCTAAAGCATGAAGTAAAAATAAAGTTTAAGGTCAACCTGCATTTAGCTGAGGAGGAGCTAACAGGTGACCTCCCAGTTTTGCTGTTTTCCTGATGATGTAATATTGTACGTACTTT